TATATATATATATATTACTAAAAGAAGAATTATCAATTATAAATAACCTTTATACATGTTTCAAAATCAAATTCATAAGTCAAAATAAAAACAAAAACATATATAAGTAACTTTCACTCATTTCGAAAATTAAATTTATAGGTAACAACTAATAAAATTAGTGTTTACTAGTATCATGTGTTTGAATTTACCAAAAGTGATACACATTTTCTTGTGCAAAGGACGTTTAATCCAAAACAACTGAGTGGATAATTTATGGTCATATTGGATGAAATATGATGTGATTATTTTTGTTTCAGGATGATTAGGGTTTGTTTTAGGTGACTCTCTAAAGTCAGAGCATTCAAAAATATAATCTGCCTTCTTAGATTTAGGGTTCGAGATTTTATGATTACTTATTCATGGGTCTTATAGGCCCCGAGATTATCGAAATTTTCTAGAGTGACTTTATGTCGTGATCCTTAGTCATTAAATATAAGATTTTGTCCTAGATACGACCCCTTGTAACAGATTTATTCTGACCCGTTTTTTGGAAAGTGAATCGCCTTAATACATCAACCTTCTCTCGATCTTCGGATATCCCCCTAAACGGGTGCCTAGCCAACAACCTCAGCCAAGGCCTATCAGAAAAGCTATCTAAGATAAATCCTAAGGTAGTAACCATCTCGAAGTTTATTCGAATGGTACACTCGTCCCCTATCTCTAAGCCTATAAGGCGCAAGGGCTCAGTAGCGACTGGGACGCTTGACCAATCTCGACTAAAATCTTTCTCTCGGCTAGCGCCTCTCGTTCAAAGTCTCTCAGCGAGTCCATTTCAGATTTTATTTGGGATGGTACAGTTTCAAATTACAAAAATTATAATTGTGTTGCTCACATGTCATTTGTAACGATATGGTCGATCAGTACACTTTACAACTTGTCAATTAAGCAACGAAAAACATAAATATAAATATTTAGGATTAATTATCAACAATTTCTAAATATACATACAACAATATATATGTGTAAATAAAAAATGAAAACATAAAGGTCCATGAATGAGACTATATCACAATCATGTACATATATATACAATTATCCAAACTGTAAAATATGAAATCCTAAGTTGTTGATCAATCAAAAGAATGTTTTATGTGTATAAATCTAGGTCATACAAAAAAAAAAGTTCTTATCATGTGGAAACTTTCGACTAACAACGATAATTTTTATAAAATTTTTTAATGTTGTACCTTTTATTTTATTTTTCATGTTATTTTGATTGAAAGTCAATTTTAAAATTTTCATATTTTACTTGTTCTTAAATTTTATTGGCTGTAATATAATTTTTTTTTATTTTTTATTTTCTTCTAATAAATTATCAAACACATATGTTATAAAATTTATCAATTATATTTAAAAAATACTACATTTATAATAGAAATAAATGTACTTTTAAAATAAGAATAATAAAAAATTTATATTATAAAAATAATAATATTACAAAAAAACTGAAATTATTTAAAAAAACTTTAGTTAGAAAATCGGTTTCTGGTAAACCAATTTTTCAATGCAAAAATAAAAAAATATAAAAAATCTAGGTGAGAAATTAGTTGGTGGAAGACCAATTTCACAACATGAATAGTGATACAAACATTTTGATAAATATATTTCAAAGTATAATATTTTGATAAATTTATTATGTTTTTGTAATATTATAATAAAAAATTCAAATCTTATATTTTACTTAATGGTTAATTTTTTTTATTTTTTTATTTTTAATAAATTATAACTAATAAAATAGGATGTATTAACATTTTTCTATTTTATAACAGGGGCCGCCCGCCAACCATATTGTCACTTCGGGTAAAAGTGGTAAAATGACACTTAAAAAAATAGTTTTAATATATTCATTTATTGTTATTTTTCTTATTTTACTAGATATTGTTATTTTACTTGAACGCTTAAATAATTTTATAACCATATTTTTAACTCTCTCAGTAAATGTATATATCTGTAAAAGAATTATTTAATGACAGTAACAAGTGTGAGTGATAATTCAGATTGAAGTGTCAATTATTTTTAAAATATTTAACCAGCCTAAAGCCGGAGGTGATTATTTAATTTATTTCTGTCATGAACTTTCTTATAAAAGTATATCTGATTACATTTTTCAATTCCATGTGCTTTGTTTTGCAGGAAGGGGGCGGATTATAGAAGTTAATACTCACAATATTAAGTATTGCAGATGTTTAGTTATGGATAAAAGCTGTGTTAAGATGCATAGAAATATGATAAAAATATATATATAAAAAAAAAAAAAAAATCTTAAAGAGCATAGAGGAATAGGAGTAACTTTCTTGAGCCTCAAACTTTGGTTAAGGAAGGTCAACTTGAGAAGATTAAAACTTGTATCTAATAAGAATGTGAATTTGTAATCTAATATTTGGTACACAAATTTTATTTATTTATTTTTTATTTTCCTCGTTTGATTTATTATTTAAAAATAATAGTCTTAAAAAATATTATTTTTAAAATAATGATTTTTACTTTTTATAAAATTATTTCAATGGAGAATGAAAAATTAATTATCTCAAAATAAAAATAAATTTTTAATACGAAAAAAATATCATGCCACCTTTATTTATTATTTATTTAATATAATAATTTTTTTTATTCTAATGTAATAAATATTTATTATTAATTAAATAAATTTTCATAATTTTTACGATTTTTGAAATTTATGATTCTATATGAATCATGATTCCCAAAAATGAAAATTTTTTATGTGTATCAAAGCGACTTAAGATTTTAATAAATCTCCAAATTTAATTTACTTAAATTGTTATTCACCAGAAACAAAATGACTCCTCTCCCTGCCTACACTGAAATGTGAAATTATAAAATTACGGTTAATTAATGAAATACTGATCATAAAATTTAGATTATGCGAGTGAATTTGTACCAAAACAGGAGAGACAGTGGTTGATTATTGAATGATAAAGTCCATATTTGATGGTCCATTATCCCATTGATTGATCCAATTTGTTAAAAGTAGTCCATTCCCTTCTAAGAGTCCAAAAGTAGTTTGGGCCCATTTTAAAGTAAGGGCTAAATTGTTAGGACTTTGACTGATATACAATATAGGGCCTCATACCACACCAAACCCCCTATGATAAGGAAAGGAAAAATAATTAACGATCCTATTACGCAAAGAAATCATGAAAGGAAAGTTTTTGTTATTAGGAAAGATGATAGAGGGAAAGGTAATAATTAGTAAAAGAAGTTGAAATGGGAAAGGAAAATAGAGAAAACGTAGGAAAGTAGGGAGAGATTAATTTGCGTCAAAGAAAGGGACTCTTGTTGTAGTTAGTTAATTTGTCATTTGATTTTTCCCATATCATTTCATTTTCAGAATAGTTATGGTTAGGGCTTTGTTTGGACTCATTGCGTAACTTGCGCTATACTTCCCTATTGCCTTATTGCCTTGACCTTGACCAACTTCACTCACTGAGTCTGAGTGGGAGTGGGACCCTTTTTCTCATTTTATTTGACTCTAAACTCTAAACTCTAAACCTCTCGTCTTTCCACTTTCACTACCCTTACCCTTTACTCTATTTCCCTTCTTTTCTCCTAACTATTTTATTAGTTTTACACAAGTTAATAAAATTACTAATTGAAGATGTATTTATACTTAGATTTTACTAAATTAACATCGCAGTATATCTTAAATTAAATTATTAATATATACACCAAGGAAACATTTGCTTCGCTGGAGGAAGGGTTTCCTGTACCTCACGATTCATGTACGTCAATTTGTCCTATTCTATATTTTTCAACAGCGACAAATATCCTTTGAGTTTGAGACGAACAAGCATTTGCCATTACCCCATTATTCAACGGAATCTCAATAAAAATTCACAACTACTAATGCGGTGAAAGGAGGAAGAAGTTAAATTAATTAAAACGACATATTACCCAATAACTAATAATTATTCTACATTCCACATTTCATTACAACTTGAAAGCAATGAATGCAACTAATGAGGCAGTGATTCTTTTATTGAGAATTTATACAAGTTTTTACAACCGGTATTTTAGTAGAGCATTTATTGCCGCAATTTTCTCGTCATAATTACACAAAACGTAAATACTCTCCCATGTACATTTTAAATAATCCCGCGTACATGTTTATTCAATAAAAGTAGTAACATTCTCAAGTATCAATATAGATTTTTTTTATTGTTTCTCCAACTACACTCTCTTGCTCTAATAGATACAGTACTAGGCGTGAAAGTAAAATTAATCAATTGTTGAAAACTAAATAGAAATATTCCAAACATAATAAAAGCTTCCATAACGAAAGTTTGACTTTATGCTTCACAGTTCGCTATGCACAAAGAAGAATTAGCCAAATTGGAAAAGATGAAGAAATATTGCATCGTCGATAAATGCAAGAAAAAAGTAGGTTGAGTTCAATAGCTCAACAATCGACATACATACATACATCCAAAATGAAAATAAATCAAAGGGTGTTTATAAAAAAAAAATAAAAAAAAAAAAGGATTAGAAGGACAAACTGTAAAAAAAGTGTTTTTACAATTTATAAATGATAAGAAAACAGGGCAACACAGCACGCGAGTCAAACACGAACAACTCGCCGTTGTCCCCACTGACCGAGTCGAACCCAACTCGTCCATCCAACAAGGAATCCATGAACCCGATTTGCTTGGAGACCCGACCCGCAATGAACCGGCACACCAGCATGGCCCTTCTGCCCCGACCTCCGCCGGAGCTCTCATGGGCGCCACCGCTGCCGGAGAAGGTGCAGATGGCGGCCCCTTTCCCGCCGGGGAAGGACGACAAAGCGCATGCTCCGCCGTAGGGAGCGGCGCCGGAGGCGGGACCCAGGCAGTGGAACCTCATGAGCTCATTCCCATCGGCAGCGCAGCGCGCATTCTCCTCGTCGTGGGCTGGGCCGGCCCGGCTCTTGACAGCCTGGCGATACTCCTCGAAGCGGGAAACCGTCCGCGGGCCGTTGTGGACCTTGAATATCATCTCGACAAGGCCCGAGAAGGGCTTGGGCCCCCAGCTGGTGTGGAAGATAATCTCCACGACATTCCGCGAAGGGTGGCCCTCGCTCAGTTCCGTGAGAGAAGGGAAGCGAGGGTCGGCGTGGCGCGTGGCGGTGGAAGCCACGCTCCGCGAACGGTTCATGTTGATGTTCGCTTCCAACTCTGGCTTGGAAGCCGTTGAAGGGTATCTGGAGCTGGGGTGTTTCTGGAGAGGCTTCTTGGGGTCTGTCTTGGGCCTGGGCCTGGGCCTGGGCCTGGTTGTGTCGAGCACTACGTCTTTGATGCTTTGGACGCTCTTTCTGCAGCTGGGGTGGTAGACGTCCTCGTATGCTCTGGACTTGCATTGCAATGACTTAACCCACCCACTCGCCATAACCACTAACCACAATCAGATATTATGTTATGTCTCTCTCTCTCTACTCTTTACTCTCTACTCTTTACTCTTTACTCTTTACTCTTTCAAGAGTTCAAGTTGTGGTTTTGTTTGGAGTTGTAAATGTAACAGATGGGCTCTCCTCATCTTCTGCCCGTACACCACAGAAATGAATGAATGAATGAAATGAGAGCAGAAGAGACATGGCGCCATAATAAATGGATTTTACTCCCTCTCTCTCAAATTCCCAATTTCCCCTTCTCAATACTAGTATTTTCCAATTACCCACCTGCCCTCTCTCCTCTCTCCTCTCTCCTCTCTCTCCTCCTAAAACAACAAATTCTATTAATTCCCAAAACAAAATACCTCATCTTAATTCCTGTTACCTCCTCATGTCCACGCATACTCAATTCCATACACTCTTTTCTTTTTTTTTTAATATTATTAATTAATTTTAAATTCTTTTCATGCACTAATGCTCAGAGAATTTAAACACTCTACACGCATAAACATTAAATATGCACTCATCCATAAATAAATTTAATAAATAATAGTACCTACAGTATTTAACCAACTGTGAAAGCATGCGTAATTAGAAAAGATAACTTAAGTGAAAGAGGTGCATTTGGATTGCTTAATGTATACCGCTGAATACTGGACATTTATGATTTGGGATGTGGTAGAAAAGCTCGACATCCAACAAGTGCTTTAATTAGTCTTTGGGTAATTTTAAAGGAAATACTCTATAAATCAATTTGTTTCATGGGTCAGCAATCAGCATCAGGATTCAGGACTTAAGACTATTATGATTTATTATTATGAGAATCAAGACTCTGAAAAACCTAACCCCTGTGCCTTTTATGAGTGTCACTTTAAAAAATAAGAACTACTCAAATAAATGGGGAAAACTATTTTTAAGGTAACTATGTTAGAATTTAAAAAAAATTAAAAGTGATATTAATTTATTTTATTTTATATTCTCCTTAAAAAATTCAACTAAGACATTTTCTTAAAATTTAAAAAGCTTAATTTTCATATAAAAAAAGAGGTTTGAATAAATATTCTTTTTAAGAGAAAGTTGGGTGAAACAACATATGAAATTTTCGTATTTCTTTTTTGTTTTTCCCTTGCCTTCACTCTCTTGCATCTGCACTATCTTCTCTTTTTTATTTTCCAATACGCTCTTCTATTTTTATATTTTTGGTTCACTCTCCTCCTAGACTTACCTTTTTTTTTTTTTTGCATTTTTTTCTTTTTAAAATATATTTTAGGTTTCTTATCTTGTTGGGAAAAACTATTTTAATCATTTATTTTTTAAAAGGTTCATTTAGAATTAGATCTTCTAATTTTTAAATTTGAATTAATATCATCTTCTTAAAAATATTCATGATTTTTTATTTTATTTTGGTAAACATTTTTTATAATTTTTTTTTACTAATTCAAGATGTAAAATTCTTTTCATTAAATTCACTTACATAACTTTATGATACACAATTAATGCTTGAATCATAAAAAGTCATAAATAAAAATCTCATGAAAAATCAGCTCTCTAGTGAGGGAAAAATTTTAAAATCTAATAGCAATTTTTTTTTTTGGCTGAAAATCTGATTGACTAAAGAATTTTTTTATAAAATAAAAGACTAAAATAATATTTTAGCCTTTTCTTTGTTTAAAATTGTTATGTAATGACATACATCTTATAGTAACATAATATTTATTACTAAAAATTATTTTTATCTACACTATAAATATAATATATATTGAAATATTGTTAAAAGTGTAAGTATAAACTATAAAAATATGATGTTAAATCTCATTCAAAATTAATATTACAATTGTGTGCAATTATATGTCAAATAAGTTTATATGTACATATATATTATATCTACAATGATACTTTTTGTATATCATTATATGTAACATTTCTTTGTAGTGAAACATTTATAAGGATAGAAAAGTAATAATATTAATAAGATTATATGTTGAATAAGGTTATTAACTAATATCCTACGAAATTAATAATGAAATTCTCTATAAAAAATATATTTAAATGTATTAATAGCATTTTAATAAATAAATAAAAACATTTAACATTTCATTTCCTAACTAGAATCCTTTTAGCACTAGTTAGCAGCTTCCATGTTGTATTCATTTGTGTTTCTTGTTTTTCACAATATCACAACTCATTTCCGGATGGTGAGTAGCTAGCTAGCTAATCAAGTCAATTTCTATAAATAAATGAAAAGGTTTTGGGCTTCTAACTAAGAATGCTTAGTGGCATTGTTGCTCCTTTAAATCAAAGCGACCATTACTGAGCTGCAGTGTTGGTTCGTCAATTTGAATAATCAATATACATAACTAAAAAATAAAGTGAAGTTACATTATCGATTTTGACAGCCGGGGCAGATTGGTCAATAGAAATAAAAATGTGGTTAGATAGATTGAAATTTAAAAAAAATGTCATGGGAGTTTGGACTTTGGGGTGGAAGAGTTGGTGCGGAGAATAGAAGAATGGAAACTGGCAGAGAGGGAGAAAGCATCTTAAAAAAGCACTGAAATTTAAACTTATAAAACGACAGTTTTTCTTCCACTTTCATGCTAATCATGTATGGAATGGCGCATTGTTTATTGATTACTTGCACGAGCTACTCTAGGTACCAAGTCCTTGTTCTGTTTATAACCTATTGCCACAATGCCTTCTCACTTCTCACTTCTCACTTCTCACTTCTCATCCATCCTTCCATTACAAGCAGACAATCATCTTGAGATAATCCAAGTTTATCTATAATTTTATCACCATATCAAACACCCATCAAGCCCAAATTAAGCTGCAGTCAAAAAGTTGCATCATACATGTGACAACATTTGTAAATTATAATAATGTAATGTAATGTAGTATAGAGTAAATTAAATTGAAAGGATTGGATCCTTAATTAATCTAAATTGTAAAAGAAAAATGGTTGGGTGGTTGGGAAATGGGAATGAGTTTGGAAGTTGGAAACGTTGCCAGCCTTTGTTGTCACGCCTGCATTCCACCTTAGCCTTAGCCCCGGGAAATGCGTTTGCGTGCTTCAACTTCAAATTCAACAACAACCAAACACTATACCTTTATAACAACAACCCTCTTTTCGTAATTTTGGCTCACGAAAACGATGTTAGTTAAACAATTTGTGATTATAAAAAAATCATCACAAAATGTATTAATATCATAATTATTTTATTTTTAAATTTTAGTTATCATTTGTCTTTTCTTTTTTCTGACAGAATGATTGCATGCCGTATTAATAATAATAATAATATTCAAAGCTTCTGAGAGCAAATTCAAATGAGTTGGGCTTCGGATCGAAAGGTCACTCTCTCCATCCCATTTTATTTGTTAATATATATATAATAATCGTGGAATATATAATTAATATTCTTAATTTTATAATAAATGCTAGATTTTAACATTTGGGTCGTATATTCCCAGCGGAACAGTGAACCCATATTTGGTGCAACAGCGTCGGAAAAAAAAAATACTACTGTAAGTAATATCTTTAAAGTATTTGTTAAACATATCAAATATCAAATAAAAATTGAAAATTTTAATGTAATAATATATTTAAAATAGAGTTTAATAATAATGTATTATCAGTTTGAATTTGTATACTTTTAAGTAATTAAAAATATTTTTGATATAATTTTTAAGATAAGTATTATTTTGTGTAAAAAATATTATTATGAAAGAAATGATGTTTTTAAGAGAAAGGAAGGAAATCTAGCATGGGTTTTGTGAAAAGAAATGGAGAATCATGTGTTGTTAATGATGTTGTCTTGTGGAAAAGCAGATTTTGCAAAATCAACAAGTCTTAACTGCGGAAGTTGAATACGGGGACCCATCTTTCTGACCAACTTACTCAACTCATGAGATGGACTGCTGAAAGCATTACTGTACAATTTTGCAACCTCATCAACACAAAAAGCAACCAAACAAAATACAAAAAGAAAAGGTCAAGACTCAAGACAGAAGAACTAGGATCAGAAACACTCATAAATTATAATATTGACGCATCCCTCGCTGGATGATAAATATATCAGAATTTATATTTCAGTCATATTAACGTTCTAATATTTTATTTTATTGATCACTAAAAAATTATGTCAAATCATTATACTTATTATAACAAAATACTTTTTTTTAGTAACTACATTTTATTATTAATTTTATTCATTACTAATTTATGTTGAAAAGTTTAGTTAATTATTTTCAACAAAGTGTTATTTTTTAACATTATTTTTTTCTATTCACGAAACTCTAATATGAAACGTCCACTCCATGATGCACTTTGGGCACTCCTCACCTCACTCTAATATGAAATTTTAAAATATATCATTAGCAATTGCTCATACATTATATACATGTTTTAAATTTTAGCATAATTGAAAAAGTGTTTATAGTTCAAAAGGTATAATTATTTTTTATAAGAATTTAAATAATATTGAAAAGTATTTTTAAAACGAGTTTAAAAAAAATGTCGTGTCATTATTTTGGAGAAAAGTAGGTTAAGAAACTAAATCATCATAAAAAATTATATATAATTTTACATGTTATAAAATGTATTGATATGAATTTGAAATTAAAAAAAATTAATTTGATTGCATTTCTTTTAAGTTAATAGATAACATTATTTTTTAAGCATGTGGTTTAAAGTTCAATATTATAAATTTGTATAGAAAAAATATTTATAAAAAAAGTCAACTCCTTTGTTTAATATTTCAAAAGATTAGTTATCTTTCGATTAAAAAAATATTGTTACAGGTCTAGACTCAATCTTACCAAAATTGTTGTAAAGTCCGAGCATTTCTACTTCAATTTTTGATATTAAAGTTATAAAAATACACAAATGAAATATAATTATTTATAAGCATTTTAGTTTGGACATGATGCTTGTATGTATTACCAATACGTATATTTATCAGTAGAGAGAATAGGCTGTATTGTAAAGGTAATCTACTCATAAATTAGTTGAAATATTTATCATGTATAATAAAATTATTATTTTTATAATAATTTTTAAAAATCATGTTCACATTAATTTTGATAAGTTGACATTGTAAAATATTTTATAATACCAATGCATGATGATTAAACTTGTGTTAAATTTTGAGCTCAAATTAAGTTTGAATATTTTTAACTCCATTTAATTATAACCAAATTTTATCCCCCAAAATATCATAAAAAAACTTGATTGTTGTTTTCTTTTCATTATTTTTTGCTCTCACTTTAAGTCCTTTTATCACAATCTCGCATGAAGATTGTTACATATTTTTATGAAAA